GAGTCAGTGACTTGGATTGAACCTAGAGTTAACTTAGAAAAGTTTTTTGTATTAATCAGGGTTTAGAACAAAGAGTATAATATGAATGATTCATTGAACATTATGGAAAACACTTTGAACGATTTGTATTGAAATTGTGCACCTGTGACCTTAATGTAAGCACGACAGACATCATGGAATTCGAATTGTTTGCTTGGAAATTGCAGATCTCGTGGTGGTCTTGTGATGCATAGTTTGTAAAGCACGGAACTTGTACGCCCCCAGTAAGTGATTATTACACTGCTGGAGGGTATAGAAAATGGTATATAAGTTGGAAGGAGTCCAAATAAAATTTGGCTTCAGTCCTGATCAGACTGTTCCCAGAAGAACTGCCTCTGAGTAGTCTCTTCTAGCCGTCCAGATTCTCTGGTGCGGGTCCTAACCCACCTTTGGTCAGTGCTGGTCACCGACAAGGAAGGAAGGAAGGAAGGAAGGAAGGAAGGAAAGCAAGAGAGAAAGAGAAAGAAAGAGAGAGGGAGAGAGGGGGAGAAGGGGAGTAGGGAAGAGAGAGGGAGAGCCAGATACAGAGAAAGGGGGGGAGGAAAGGAGGGAGGGAGGGACGAAGGAAAACAGAAGGTGAATAGATGAGGGAAATCTGTTCTAGACCTTTTCCTGTACTGCTCTTGTGTCTTTATTTCTGAAATGGTAGGAGGCAGTGTGGTGCGGTGGAAAGAGCTCTACATTTGAAATCAAATGACTTGTGTTTGCACAACTCAGCCACTTAATATGGTTATGACCCTAAGCATATCATTTTGCTTACTGAGCCTCTGTTTCCTTATCTATAAAACTGGGAATAATATCATTCTCTGAGTCCTATAGTGAGGATAAAATGAAAAATAAAGTTATATATACAAATGTATGTGTATATAGCCAAGCATGCAGAAGTGTATAATAAATGATCACTTCCTTCTTTCTACAATCGATTGATGAATGGCCTGGCATGGCTTGCTTTAAGCATTTATTATGT